TTATAGTTACTAGCTATGTGCTATAAATACATTTGATGTTAGCTATATACTTGTTTATTGCAAGTGAAACTGAACATACGCTGAAAGAATGCTAGGACACCGCATCAGTGCTTCTTGCAAGTGAAAAAATCAAGTCGAGATGATAGCACTGGCCGAAACATTAGTAATGTGAGATGAGGAAAAAGGGTGTGGCTTCTGGGGTGTCACTTATACTACATTCACACTCACAAGTGTCACTTGTAGTTCATCTTTTGTGGGTGTGTAGCGACCATTACTTTTGTCACTTATGGGTGTGGCCTGTCCAGTGTTTTTTTTTTTTTTTTTTTAAAGTTCAGATGAGAAACGGTAGAAGCTACTGTATATACAGCTTCTAAAGCTAACTAGTTAAACACAAATGAAATAATACAGTAATCAGTGTGGAAAACTGGTCGTTTGATTTAGATGCTACTCTTCTTACTAGCTTTGCTGGCAGATTAGCAATGCAAGCTAACTGTACTACCTACGTACACTCACCAGAGGCACCAGCAAACTCTGCTACTTCCTACCAAGACGTTTTTTTTTTTGTGAAATGTGAAAGGTTGTGTATGACAGGATAAAAAGAAGAAGTTATTCTTCCATTTTTTGCACATCAAACTGTAAATGGGATGTAACTGCAGGTTGTCATTTGACGCTTGTATCTAATTGATGCTCTACATGAGCATGCAGGTGATCAGTAGGAGGTTAAAGACCTTGCTCAAGGCAACAACGTTCTCTGGTTCTCTTACCGACCTGAGGTATAATCACTAGGTCAGAACCTTTAGCTGAATTTCCTGAGGCATAAAAGACCTTATTAAAACATTTATCACACTACTTTTGAGGAAAAAGCTACACTAACAGATATTTTACTGAGCTCAACAAACCACTCGAAGATGTCTTGTGAAGTTTAAAGCTTTCATGGACTCACACACACACACACACACACACACACACACACACATACACACTCATTAAACTGCAAATTGTGCCCTTGACAAAAATATAATTCAATTACCAGAAATAAAAGGGAGGGATTACAGTTGGTCACTTATCTCAGGGCTTCTTTCTTGCCTCGTTTTAGAAACACTCTGTGCTAATTGGCCGTGTGTGTATCGGTGCCAGTGCGATGGCTAAGCCCTACATTTAGTGCCCGGAATTAAAAATGAGCCTCCTTGTCATGATGAAACAGTCGGGGCTTTTCTTTATAGGAAAACAAACAGGCACATTCATTAGGAGGCAGAACATCTCGACGAGAGCCTCCTAGTGGAGCGAATGTGTGGGATGCTTGAAGGAATGCGATTTTCATTGCACAGGTGAATTTTTCATAGATGCCATTTATTCAAAAGCCTTTGATATACTTTGGCTTTTGGTTTGTTTAAAACAAGTTAAAGAAGTCCTACATGGGTTTCATTATTGCACTGGTATTTGTTCAGCTTTAAGCTTTAATTAAATGTAGTAGAGCTGACTTGAAAGCTTTGTATTTAGGATTTACATTCTCTCCATACTGCTCTCTGTCCTTCATTTATTCTTCAGTCTCACTGAAGAATGCTGAAGAAAGCTGTTTGCTTCCTCTTTCTCTTTAAAATTGATCTCAGTGTTGCAGTGTTGATCTAAGGTCCTTTTGGCTTATTCTTCTTCCTTTTCCTTTTCCCAAAAGGATTAAGAATAAAAAGTCCCTGAAGCCAACAGGATGTTTAGGGTTAGGCTAGGGTTGGGGTTTTGCCCTGAGAAAGGACTGGGCAAAGGTTGGGGTTTGCCTAAGGTTAGGACTGGTCTAGAGTTGAGGTTTTCCTAGGGTTAAGTTGAGGCTTGGTTAGGGCTAGGAATGGGCTAGGGTTGGGGTTAGAGCTAAAGTCAGTATGTGCTTCCGGGTAGGACTGAGCTGGGGTTTGCCTAAGGTTGAGGTTTGGCTGAGGTTAAGGCTGGGTTAGGGTTGGGGTTTTGCATATGTTTAGGGCTGGCTTGGATTAGAACTGTGCTAGGGTTGGGATTTGCCTAGAATTAGAGCTATGTTTGGAGTTTGCCTCATGTTAGAACTGGGCTAGGTTTGGGGTTTGCCCTGTGTTAGGACAGGATTAGGGCTGTGGTAGGCCTCTGGATAGGACTGGGCTATGGTTGGGGTATGCCTAGGGCTAGGGGTGGTGTTTGCCTAGGATTAGGACTAGGCTAGGTTTAGGAGTGACCGATACTTTGGTTTTAACTGAAGGTTAGGCGTGAGTTAAGTTTGGCTATAGTTTGCCCGGGTTAGAGTTTGCCTTGCATAACATTTTAGTTATTTCCATGGTTTAGCTCAGGTTAGGGTTAGGATACAATTAGTGGGTTGGGGTTTGTTTAGGTTTCGGGTTGAGCTAAGGTTGGACTAGGATTAAGGTTAACTTAGGCTTTGCCTTATAGAAGGAGTTAGGCATAGGATAGGATTTGATTAGAATTAGGTTTGGACTGGGTTTAAAGTTAAGCTAGGGTTACTTTTGGCAAGGGCTATGGTTTGGGTCATATTAAGTTTAGAGGTTGTCTCGGATTAAGGATGGGCTGGTGTAAGTTTCTCCTTATGCTTACGACTTCGTTTTCATGCAATTTCACAAAATACAACCACATCACTCTCATTTCTTTTAATTATTGTACATATTTATTATAAGATCTTGTTGTTAAATATAGTTCACTCAAACACAAAATGGCATCCCATTTTGGAAAGTAGTGGTTAATCAGGAATTTCTGATTTGCATGCTGATAATCATTCAAAACCTCCAAGGACCCAATGCCACAAATTCAGTGGTGCTACAACTGTGAGCGCCAAAGAAAAGAAGCCAGTTTGGAACTGTATAAAAGTTTCAGGAAAGAGTTTAGAACTGGGTTAATAATGGTGTTGGAGTTTCTGATGGTGCCAGACATGAGACACTGAACAGTCTGAGGCTGAAGGCTGTTTGTCTGTCGCTGGATAATGAAAAGATGATCGAGGCCATGAACTAGGAGCGAGTGCAGGCCGTATCCTCCTCTTTATACATGCATGAGGTGGCATCTGGATCTGTCTCATGGTCAAAAGCCAATGCAGATGGTGGTTTGGTCCCAAAATCGGTTTATAGGCTGTTATAAGAATGCAATGGAGATCCATTAAGGAAGGAAGAAAGCATTTTTACCATATCTGAACTCAACTGCAGTGCTGTTATCATCTCACTGAGATGATGAGAGGGTGTTGCATTGGTATTAAGGTCCACTTTAAAAAGCAAGTTTTCAACTCCTACGTTTTTGGTCAAGTCAAGTGTGCAGTTTGATCCATTGTAAAGTCATTGCTATAGCTGGGGGGTTGGGTGATGCTGACATATCGGGCCATACATCCAGGAAATGAGCAGCATTACCCAGAATGTCTATTCATCTCAACCTGGACATCATCCAGATTGACCATCTTCTGAACACCAGCCCATTTACAGAATGGGCTCGGAGTCAAATTAACAGTGGAGGTTATATAGGAGGCATATCAGTCAAAATTATTTCAATACTTCTGCGCCTTTTTGATACCAAGGTTTAACAGTCAATGAAAATACCCCTATTTCAAATAGTGTGGTGTTTTATATCATTTTTTTCATTACAGACAGGGTGACTATTGTACTTTTAAGTTAGTCAGATGACTGAATAAAAACCTATAAATGTCAATATTTATTTTTCTTTATAATTGTAATGATTTTATGACAAAAAATCAGAACAAAATATGCAACAAACAAATCAATAAACAAAAGCAAAACAATGAACACAAAAAACAAACAAACAATAAACACAACAAACAGAACAAAAACACAATAAACAGAACAATAAATATGACAAGTGGAACAAGAAACAACAAACAAAATAAAAAAAGCACAAACAGAACGATAAATGTGATGAATGGAACAAAAACACAACAAATGGAACAATGAACATGAGAAACATAATGAAAACACTAACTATACACAATAAAGGCAATAAATGCAACTAATAACAAAAATTACGAAGTAAATAATACATGCAACAAACAAAACATTAACCAATCAGAAGAATAAACACAATAAACAGAACAAAAAGCTACAAAACGGCAAACTGAATCAAGCAATAAACACAACATATGAAACAAATGGAACAATAAACATGATAAACATAATGAAGCCATGGCAAACAATAACAATAACTGCAACAAATGAGACAAAAATAACAAACAAACCTAATCCACAACCCCAACCAATAAACACAACAAATAGAACAATAAACACAACAAAAATGCAACAAGCAGAACAGCAGACCCAACAAACCAAACAATAAACAGAAAAGACGGGACAAGAAACACAACAAACTAAACCATAAACACAACAGAACAATAAACAGAACAAATAGAACAATACACACAAACAGACTAAACCATAAACACAGCAAACAGAACAATAAACATCACTGTATAATTTACATAAATGCATGTGAATGGCCATAATAGAGGATCTACAAAACACAGGCTACAAAACATGACTAGTCACCTACTTTGCTGAGTTACTGGTTAACTAGTAAACATCCGGTTGTTTCACCTCAAACCTGTTTAGATTAATAATAAAGTTCCTCCTTGCTTTAATGGTACAGCACTGCCTCGGCTGTGGTACAGCTCTGTCTCGGTGCTGTGAATCTGCATTGGAAAATAAAATGATATTAAGTCAACACTGACATCTTCCTCCTTCTGTTTTCGTTTTCCACGCATTATTACCTCCTGACCAGCTGCCAGGAGGAGCGCCGGTGATTTAGATATGCTAGCAAAATGCAGGGTGAAATTCCATGCCAGTTTAAGGCTCACTGGTTTTCATGGACAAGTGAAACAAAAAACATGAGCCATCTGTCATGGAAGTGTTGATGATAATGATGATGATGATGATGTAACATCAATTCAGCTCTTCATCACATGTCAATAATCACATGATTCATATATGAACCTTACATATGATTTTTAGACACTTTACATTACTTTATGCTATGGGTCCCTGGAGGACTGGTGGTCGGGCCTCGTCACTCTCACCGCAGCAACCAGGGTTCGATTCCCAGCCAGGGAACAGACCCCAGCCACTGGGGATGCATAAGACAGTGCTCTCCCAGTGCTGGTCCCAAGCCTGGATAAAACCGGGGAGGGTTGCGTCAGGAAGAGCCTCCAGCGTAAAAACTGTGTCAAATCAAATACGTGGATTCACATATGATTTTTTTTAATGATTCATTTTTCAGATGTGGATTTTTTTACACATTAATTTATTTTCTTGTAATTTTTTTTTTACACAGGATTAATTTTTTTTTACACACAATTAATTTATTTTCAATTTCCATATAATTTTTTTCATATGATTCACTTATTTTCACTAGATTTTTACACACAATTTACATAATTATATAATATATACATATGTAATTTATTTTTAGACAGTTACTTTGTTTTCATGTGTAATTTTTTCATGATTCATTTATTTTTGCATGTGTTTTCTTCACAGTTCATTTATTTTCACATGTGATTTACACAATTCATTTTTCATATGTGATTTAGTTTACACATGATTAATTTATTTTCACATATACTTTTTTGGGGGGTTTTGTTTATCACTTATTGTTCACATGACGTCACATGAGTTCACATGTGCAATATCAGGCCATAACTTTAAATAGCAGTTTGACATTTTGCATGTGATCACATATTACTCACAAAATCATGTGTGACCCTCTAATCTCAAATTCTTTAGGAGAAAGAATGAGAAAACACACTCACACACACACACACACACACACATGTAGCAGCCAAAAATATAAGTGGGAAGACAGAGCAACCCATCAGTGGAGGTCTGACACAGAAGAAGTGGGCTGTGAAACAGAGCCGCTCTGAAACCACACACACACACACACACACACACACACCACCTACACATCCTTCCTCCACAAACACAATCATAAAAAAGAGGCCATGGCAAAATAATCCTGCTCAGAAAAAGCAGGAGACAAAAAAAAGAGACAAAATGAGAGCGAGTCAACGAAAAAACCCATCGCCGAACACGATTTTTGACACCTCCGACTCTCTGAGCTCTCGTCTCAGCCCTGATAGCCATGCATTCAGTGAACAAAACAGTGATTTCCAGACAATGAGCCTGATTAGCTTCAGGCTTAAACTCAAGCACTTGTCTTAGATTTGAGTCTCAGCTTGAACACTCAGATGTACTCCATCTCCATCTTTTATCACTGATGAAGTGGTTTCTCTCTCTCTCTCTCTCTCTCTCTCATTCTCTTTCAGTTTTCCCATTTGAGAGATGTTTAAATCTCTATTTCTAGCATTAAAATTTACACAGATTAACAGCAATAAAATACAATCGATTCATAATACAGGAACAGATTTTAATAATCCCAGCACTTTAAAGAAGACGTTATGAACTAATGATCTCCGGCTTCATGAGGACAGAACATTCATGACCTTATTATAAAATATTACTCACTCAACAAAGTACTCAAAGTTACATGTACAGCTCAGCTTTAAAGGAAATCTCCCTGAACAACGTATATTAATCTTTATAATTAGCTTGTGAACTTCAAGCAAGATTTACAATGAAATTCTGAACTTGCTTTTTTAGTTTCATCGACATGTTGCTCTCTTTTTCTCTCTCTCTTTCCTACATTACCCATAGTGCTGTTCGACTACCTGCTAGCAAGAGTGGCATAGTGGAATTCAGCCCTTGCTTCATTTCTATCTAAAGAGAGCAAAATTTGTTTAACTAATTGTAAAACTCATTGTAACTGTGCTAACGATCACAACGCCCCCCCGTGACACCCAGCCGCTAATGTGGATAATGAAAATACAGCTCCAATCAAATCAAACATACAGAATTAGCACCTGAATTGCTAAATACAACACAGATATTTCAGTATCAACATATTTCATGTATTTCAGTGTGGAGTTTTAGGTTTACGTTATACAAATTCTGAGATTTTTTTTTAAGCATCAGCCAAACACAAATAGAACATTATTAATTTGTAAAATCAAGTACAGTTTGTTTTGTTATTATAAGGTTCTACATATCTGGCTGTATTCTTATTACACAATCTCATAATCTTATTAAACAAAGAATAAATGTAACCAATAAACTAATAAACTCATCAGAGAAAGACATGCTTTAAGATGACACATGAAGCCCGACTCCCCCTTAAATTTCATTAAAATGCTGCAATGAAATGTCTCTATATTAAATGTAGAAATGTGTCTGTGTTATTCATCACTCTTGGTGAAAGTCGATATTTAGTGAATCAAATTATCAAATATTTCGCTTCAATATTGTGCTGTTCATTCAGTTAACGCAAACTGTTTTCGGTGGACAGCGCAGCCTGCGTGAAAATGACCTTTAAAGCCGCTGATAGAACTCCAATGATGCATGGCTTCTATGGGCGTCTATGGCAGATTCAAATACACTGTGTTTTAATGTGAGGAGAGATGAATGCTCATTGGACAACAGGATTTAATACATCATTCTGAGCCACGCCCGGACGCCATGTGTCTCCGGGGGTGAATGGGAGTGTGGGTGGGTGAGTTTAGCATAGAAAAAATCATCTTGATGTCTTCGCTTATCCCACCTGGAACGCACGGCTTCTCCTTATGACATAAAGATTGGTAGATCTCTCAAAGGGGCGGACCCTCGTAACCAGCTGAAACGGTAATAAACATGACTGACGTCTCAAACTTAAACATATCAGGGCCGGTTGGACTCGCAGAGTGTTTGGAGCTCGAGGAGTCAGTCAGTAACCCATAACGACCCATAACAGTTTTACGTAACTAGTATAACTTGTTGTTTTATCCTTGTAAATGGTAAATATTAGAAATAAATTGTAAGCATAAAGTTATGTTTGATTATTTGTGTTCGTTTCTGAATATATTTGTTTAGTTACAGATCTAGTTAGCTAGTTTACTTTTCTTAGAATGACGTAGCAAACACTACTAATTTTGTCGACTTGATTTTGGAAAAGTTTTTGATGCTCTTACTTATGAGGAGAAACTGAGAATTAAACAGGAGGCCAGAGCAACAGATGAAACAGAACACACACAGATATACTTCAATAACACACACCTGTGCTTCTCTTTATTCTAGAAACCACCAGCTTGCCGCTGATGATCGTTTCTGCCTTTCAGTCATTTTTATTTTTCTGATTGTATTCTCTAACATCTGTGATACAAGACTGTATTTCACTTTTTACGATCTGAGCTCGTTCCAAAACAACATCTTTGACATTTCATTGTAAAACCTTATTAAAAATATATTAGAAAAATATGTTAGAAAAAAATTAGGTCAGCTAGCACAAACACGTCTTACACATATGCTAGCTGACCTTCAGCTCCAGTTACACTGGAAACTTCAGCTTATTTTGCACATTTCATGAAGCTAGCTAATGTCGGTAATGTTTAATGCTAATGGTATGTGATGTTAACCAAAACATTAGCTTTCTAATATGCTGAAGGCAGAAAGTTGAAAGATTTTGCAAAAAAAAAAAAAAAATCCTCCAGCTCACCATACTGAGGCTTTAACTCTGTTCTTATCTGTCAGAGTGTACATAAATAGAACGTGGATGTTGATTGGTCAAGGCGGCCTGGATTATAATTGGCCGGGAGATACAAGAAGTTTAGCTTTGAGTTTAAATAATTCAATTTTGAGACCTGATCAAAATAAAGCCTGAGGAAAGTCTACGCTTCAGGCGCCAGATGCTTAGCAGCAATGTGTGAGACAGGGGAGACAGATTAGCATCTCTGACCCAATTTATCAGCTATCTTCAGTTTTAAATGCTTCAAATTAAATACAGCATGATAATGATCTACAAATGATGTTATGCAAAACAAAACCTGTGGAGATTTCGGCATTTCACAGCTCAAGATCCAACCTGTGAGAAACATGTACAGGTAAACAGTTAGCTAGCTGAGTGAGCTAGACTAGCTAGCCAGATCTTTTACTGATATGTTTTACAGTATGAAAGCTCTGTATTAAATTTAAAATGTCACTTTGATGTTCAGTAACAATTTCCTGTTGTGTTAAATATATCTACATTTTGCTAAAGTCTATAGGTAACGCTCAGGATAATGTGTAAGCGGTATCTGTGATAGATAGCTAACTATGTAGCTAGAAACATGACTAAGCTAGCTAGTTAACAAACGTAGCAAAGTACTGAAAGCTCAACAGCATTTTGGCTAATTTAGCTAGCCAGCTAATGTTATGATTTTTTGTATACTGTTGATAATGAAGGTGGTGTTCACTTCAGCATAGCTCACTCGGTTAGTTAGCATAATTGTAAAAAATTTCCACAGATATAGAACGTTTTCAGATTAGTTATGACAATCGTAGACATTTTAAAAAGTAATTTGTGAGGTAATTCCTCAAGTACATTTTCAGCACACTACATATTTACTCTTACTTGAGTAATTCTCATGATCACTACTTTTAATCAAGACGGTGTTTTGTTTTGGTGTTTGGAGATATAACTTTTAGTTTGTAGTTGTTTTTTTAATATTACAGTAAACGCTTTGCAGAAAAATAGGAACACCACAGGAGATGTCAGTATCCTGCAGTGAAGATGTTTATGTACTTAACTCATTTCCGACCAGATAAAATCTTACACATAAGACATGAATTGTTTTATTCAAAATCAGCATGATGTGCGTTTTTGAATTTCTCTTCTGTAATTTTTGAGGGTTTTTGTCCCTGGTTATACACCTACACATATTCATAAACAAAACAAATAATAGCTTGCTGGATGAACAATAAAGTATTGCAATAAATATATGTCCCGCTAACACGGCAGCACGGCTGCTCCATCCATTTCTCTCCCGCTGATTTGTATCCAAAGTTGTAACAATGTGTTAGACGTGATTGTTTTGCTCATTAGATAGCCTCCATTCTCACACTCGCAGGAGAATGGCGCCCATTAGCAGCACTGCACCATGGGATGTGAATTCATAAATCCCAAGCTGTCAAGCATCTCACATACTGGTTTTCAAAACAAGGCTTGGAGAACGCAACACGATGTACGACAATGATAATTAATATGC